GAGCAAAAAGCCTCCATATTATACGCTTCTTTCAATGATGAAGAGCCATAGAACAAGGTTGCGGTGCTGAAGAGGTTGGAGCAATCCAAGTTGTGGGGTGTACATGTCCGTATGTTTCTAGCTTCAGTTGGCACAACATAGTTTCTATACGAGTTCATCAAGATTGTTTGGATGAGTCCAAGCTTAGTGTAAGTACCAATTTCTTTTTGAATTTTTTTCTGTACATTTTGGCTTGGACCAATTCCAAAAGTTAATTTCCTGGTGATTGTTGCAGTGCCTCATCAAAACAGCAATATGAAAAGGAGTGTAACCACAATTAGGCAACAAGAAACCATGCATGATCTGGTCGAAGGATTTCAGCATGGATTTCTTTTGCCTAAGCTAATATTGCAAGGCGAGTTATCAGGTCTTTTAAGGAAGTGGGTTGACAACACTTTCAAAGAGAACTGATATGTTGCTGTTTGGGGAAAATAGTTGAGTTTGGAGATTCATCCAACAACTCCGATGGATTTGTTAGGGACTGTGGAGTTAACTGAAGTGAGGGATATTGATACATGATCCCGCAGCCTCTTGGCCTCCTGATCTTTTGCTACTTCATCATTTGAGAAGCGTTAGCCATGGAATCCTATAAAACAGGTAAGACATTCCTATTTATTAATGCCATTTGATCAAGTATCAATGCACTTCAAGTAAAATTGAAACAAATTGGAAGTAAGGAATTAAATGCAATGAGCCCATTTTTGCTTCCTTCTTGCAGGCTTCTCAGTGAGTGGATGATTGGGTCATGCTATTGCATGATTCTCAAAATTTGATTGAAATTTCTACCATGATTCAACATGTATATCCAGCCAATTTCGAAGGGTGAAAGCTTATATACGCCTCAGATCTCTACAACTGATCAATTTCCTCCTACTTTTTACAACCATGCAATCAAGTTAAATGGTTGGTTTAACTCTATAATGTACATACCAAAGAAAAATTCCAATCAATTGTAAAGGAATACATCAAAAAATTAGAATACACAAGTTTTGTTCATCAGAGGTGGGAAGAAAGATGTCGGACCATATTATATTATCAATGAAAATTTTCTTAAAAAAATATCTTATAGTGTTACTTTAAGGTTGTTGGGTTGCATTAGAATCAAAACTGTTTTTAATTAAAGTTGTAATCACCTGTTTTGTAGACTTCAAACACAATGTTCTAAGAACATTATTCCATTTACAATTGCACACTAGTTTAAGGGGAAACCGATTTCTTAAAAGATGAAATGTCTAAATAGATACAAATATTATTACACCTAATAATTTTGTCAATTGACAAGCATTACAAGATACGCGTTTCTTAAAAAAAAAATTCTGAGGAAATTGTTTCACTAAGAGTCAAAATATTTATATTTGAAATTTAATGTCAGGATACTGGTTCTAATAACACTTCCAATTTTGAAAAAGAATTTAATGATTATAATTCAATTAATTAACACTTTGTAAATCATGTGAAAATATTTACTCATTATGAAACCCTTTTCTCAAGAGATGAAATGTCGCAGATATGTCTCCGTAGATATAAAATATATTATTATACCTATAAATTTTGCCAACTCACACACATCATATGATACGCGTTTTCTAAAAAAACAAATCTTCCTAAGGAAATTGTTTCGCAAAGAACCAAAATATTTAAATTTAACATTTAACACTTCCAATTTTGACAAAGAATTTAATGGTTAGAATTCAATTGGATAACGTTTTGTAAATCACGTGAAGATTACTCGTTATGAAACTGTTTTGTTAAAAGATGAAATATTATGCACCTATTAACTTTGCCAACACACAAGCATCACATGATACGCGTTTTCTCAACAACAAAAAAAAAAAACATCTTCCTGAGGAAATTGTTACTCTAAAAGTCAAAATATTTGAATGTGACATTTAATGTAAGGAAACTTGTTCCGATTGCCAACTCACAAACCTCACATGATACGCGTTTTCCTAACAGCAAAAAAAAACCATTTTTTTAAGAAAATTGTTTAACCAAAAGCCAAAATTTTTAAATGTAACATTAAATGTTAGGATACTTGTTATGCTAACACTTCTAATTTTAACAAAAGAATTTAATAATTATAATTCAATTAGTTAACCTTTCGTGTAATCACATGAAGGTGTCTATTTATTTTTATATTTTAAAATATTTAAGTCTCGATAACATTGCCAGAACTCTCCTATAAATTCAAACCCCATCCTTCCGGACAATTCACAAGTTAGTCTTCGCTCAAAGCCTTTCATTGATCATGGAAGATGATCCAGAGCCTGACACAAAATTACATTTCTTTCAAAAGTTTCAATTTTTCTTAAAAATGGATGGTATAGGGAAAGCAAAGGCTAAACTAGCGCTCCAATCTTGCAATAGCATCATTGGAGCTATTCTTAGTTCTAGCCATTGGAGGTTACTTTCTCAACACATTTAATTTTCTATACTTTTCTGCACATACATTTTGCTTTCAATCTGAATTTTCCTATACCTTTTTGCAGTCATTTGAGCCAATGTCAAAAAAGACATTGGAGCAAAAAGCCTCCATTTTAAAGGCTTCTTTAAATGGTGAAGAGCAATAGAATGAGGTTGTGTTGCTAAAGAGATTAGAGCAAATCTTGTTGTGGGATGTCCGTGTCTGTATGTTTCTAGCTCCAGTTGGTACAACACAGTTTCTCAACAAGTCCATCAAGATTGTTTGGATGAGTCCAAGCTCAGTGTAAGTATCAATTTTTTATTGAATTTTTTGCTTAACATTTTGTCTTTGACCAATTGCAAAAGTTAATTTCTTGGAGATTGTTGCAGTGATTCATCAACAGAGCAATATGAAAATGAGTTCAGTTACTGCTAGGCAACAAGAAACCATGCATGATCAGGCCAAAGGATTTGATCATGAATTTCTTTGGCTTGAGCTGATCTAGAAAGATGAGTTATCAGGTCTTTTAAGGGAGTACACTGATAATGCTTTCAAAGAGAGCTGATATGTTGTTTTGGGAACATGGTTGAGCTTGGAGATTCATCCAACAAGTCAGATGGATTTGTCAGGGACTGTGCAGTTAGCTGGAGTGAGGGGATACTGATGCATGATCCTGCAACCTTTCGGCCTCATTGATCTTTTGCTACTTCATCATTTGAGAAGAACTAACCATGGAATCATGTACAACAGGATCAAGAATCAATGAACTCCAGGGAAATGCAATGAAACATTTTTTTTTCCTTTCTCGCAGGCTTGTCAGTGAGTGAATGGTTGGGTCATGCTCTTGCATGATTCTCAAAATTGGATTGAAATTTCTGCCATGATTCAACATGCCTTTCCAGCTATTTTTGGATGCTGGAAACTTATTTACCCAAAGATCTCTATGACTAGTTAATTTTCTCCTAACTTTTTACAACCATAAAACCAAGTTAAATGGTAGGTCTAACTCTATGGCTAATTTAGACGAAGTTACTCACATTTTTACCCAAAGATTAATATGTGTTTTTTTCACATTTGACTTGTTAGTACCACATCAACATTGTTTGACACATCAGTATCTCTAATGGCTAATTTAGGCGAAGTTACTCATAAGGACTTAATTGCACTCAATATCCAAAGTATAGAGATTAAATTAACTAAATTTTAGATAGAGGGGCTAAATTGAATAAAACGCTATAATATAGGAACTTTTTGGGTACTTTGATCATTTTAAAATATCTTCATATTAAATTGTTTCATTAAATTTCAAAGTATTTATCTTAATATTAAATGTTATAAGATGCGTTACCCGATGTTTAAAATTTATGTGTTATATTTTATTTAATTTTTATATCACTTCATTTTACATGTAGATTTTTGACATGTAATCGCTAATAAACTTTGAATTTCATATGAAAAATTAGTAATTTTTGGATTTGAAAATATTTCAATTCCTTTTCTTAATTATCTTGGTAATTTTAGTTTGAGAATCTTTTGACTCAGCATGAAATGTTACAAATTGTCATTGGTTATTATTTTAAAGATGTATACGCCAAATATGTTACTCTCTGCTTAATTTAACTTAATTCAAAAATTTTCATATGAAATTGTTTTTAATTTGAGAATGTATGACTCAATGTGAGATGTTACAATTTGTGATTGGTTATTATTTTAAAAATATATATACTGGATATGTTACTTTCTATTTAATTTAACTTATTCAAACATCTTCACATGAAATTGTTTTTAATTTGAGAATCACTAATTTGAGACGTTATGAATTATGGCCAATTATATTCTTCAAAATCACGTGACGATGTTTTACCTTTTACTTAATTAATGTATCTTTTGTCGTATTCAAACATATTCACGTGAAACTGTTCTTTTAATTTAAAATTTTCTCACTTAGCACGAGACATTATAATTTGTAATTGGTTATTATTTTAAAGATATATATACCAGATATGTTACTTTCTACTTAATTTAACTTATTCAAATATTTTCACATGAAATTGTTTTTAATTTGAGAGTCACTAATTTGAGACGTTATGAATTATGACTAATTATTTTCTTAAAAACCACGTGAAATTGCTTTACTTTTTACTTAATTAACATATCTTTTGTCGTATTCAAACATATTAACGTGAAATTGTTTTTTAATTTGAGAATCTCTAACTTAACATAAGACGTTACAAATTATAAAGGACTATTATTTTAAAGAGATATATATACTAAATACGTTACTTTCTACTTAATCTAATTTATTCAAATATTTTCACGTGTTGTAATTTGACAATCACTAATTTGAGACGTTATGAACTGTGATCAATTTGAGACGTTATGAACTGTGATCAATTATTTTCTTAAAGATCATAGAAAGATATTTTACTTTTTACTTAATTAATATATCTTTTACTGTGTTTAAATATATTCACATGAAATTATTTCTTTAATTTAAGAATCTCTAACTTAACACGAGATGTTATGAATTGTAATTGGTTATTATTTTAAGAATCACGTGAAATGTTGTACTTTTTTTATTTTATAGTATATCTCTTATTGGATTTTAATGAAACCATTTCATTAAAATCCAAAATATTTATCTTTAATATTAAATGTTATAATTTGCATTATTTGTTATTTTAAATTTATATGATATGTTTTTTAATTTTTATATCATTTCCTTTTACATGCAGAGTTTTGACATGTTATCACTAAAAAACTTTGAATTTCATATGAAAAATATATCATCTTGAGATTTGAAAATATTACAACTCTGTTTCTTATCTTGATAGTTTTAGTTTGAGAATCTCTGACTCAATATGAGACATTACAAACTGTGATTGGTCATTATTTTAAAAATATATATACCAGATACATTACTTTTTAGTTACTTTAACTTATTCAAATATTTCACATGAAATTGATTTTAATTTGAGAATCACTAATTTGAGACGTTATGAATTGTAATCAATTATTTTCTTAAAGACCATGTGAAGATGTTTTACTTTTTACTTAATTAATATATCTTTTGTTGTATTGAAATATATTCACATGAAACTATTTCTTTAATTTGAGTATCTCTAACTTAACGTAAAATGTTACAAATTGTAATTGACTATTATTTTCCAAAAATATATATAACATATATGTTACTTTATACTTAATTTAACTTATTCAAACATTTTTACTTTTAATTTAACTTATTCAAACATTTTACGTGAAATTGTAATATATACCAAATACGAGACGTTACAATTGTAATTGGTTATTATTTTAAATATATATACTAAACACGTTAATTACTTTCTCCTTAATTTAACTTATTCAAACATTTTTACATGAAATTGTTTTTCATTTGAGAATCGCTAATTTGAGATGTTATGAATTGTCATCAATTATTTTCTTCAAAACCACGTGAAGAAGTTTTATTTTTTATTTAATTAATATATCTTTAGGGTTTTGTCTTATTCAAACATATTCACGTGAAATCTTTTTTTTTATTTGAGAATCTCTAATTTAAAACGAGACGTTACAAATTGTAATAGATTATTATTTTAAAAATATATATACCAAATATGTTGCTTTCTACTTAATTTAACTTATTCAAACATTTTCACATGAAATTGTTTTTAATTTGAAAACTGCTAATTTGAGACGTTATGAATTGTGGTCAATTATTTTTTTAAAGATCACTTGAAAATATTTTACTATTTACTTAATTAATATATCTTTTGTCGTATTCAAACATAATATTCACGTGAAACTGTTTCTTTAATACGAGAATCTCTAACTTAATACGAGACGTTATAAATTGTAACTTGTTATTATTTTAAAAATAGATATATCATATACGTTACTTTTTATTTAATTTAACTTATTTAAATATTTTCACATGAAATTATTTTTAATTTGAGACGTTATAAATTGTAATCAATTATTTTTTTTAACAACCACGTAAAGATGTTTTACTTATTACTTAATTAATATATCTTTTGTCGTATTCAAACATATTCACATGAAACAATTTCTTTAACTTGAGAATCTCTAACTTAATACGAAACGTTACAAATTATAATTGATTATTATTTTAAGAATCATGTAAAATGTTGTACTCTTTTTGTTTGATAATACATCTCATATTAGATTTTAATGAAACCGTTTCAGTAAATTCCAAAACATTTAAATGAAATATTAAATGTTAAAAAAAGGACCTAGTAACGTTTCAAAATCTCGTGATATGTTTAATATAATTATTATATATTTTGTCTTACAAATAGAATTTTGACACGTCTTTTTTAGGACAATAAATGTCACATGAAAAGTGTATAATTTTAAATTAAAAAATATTTCAATTCCATCCCTTACCTCAATAATGTCGCCAAACGGCCTATAAATTCAATCATGACCTTGCACTGGAATCATGAACAAAGCTTAGAAATCCTTTTGTCAGGGATAGAAGATAATTTAGATCCTGATGTAGAATCAGATTGTCTTTCATCATCTTCTTCCCTCAGAGAAACTGTTTGCCAATGGAGAAAGCAAATGCTAAGAAATTCTCTTGGTCATACTCCTTTCTTGGCATCAAGGTAATCTCATAAACACACATTTCTACTTTATTTCCACCTAGTAATATCTGCTTGAGGAGTCTAGCATGTAACATCTATAATGAGAAAATTTTCACTCCAAATCTGATATAATTTTCTTGTTTTCAATTTGTGTAGGCATTTGAGCCAATATCGAAAAAGACAAATAAGCAACATGGCCAGTAGATGTTCTTCGACATGGTGAGCAGCATCAGATTAATGGTGATCTGTTGAAAGAAGCTAGAGACTTGTTGTTCGCTACCCAGTGGTTGAAAGGATCCATCTGGCTCTTGGAAGAAACATGGCAGAGGCAGTTCCCTCCAGTGCTACAACTTCTTCCATGGGTGTCACCCTCAGACGTTTCCCAGGTTTGGGTTCAGACTCCATATGCAGTTGTGACAAAGAGGCTGCATTTACACTCAGCTTGAGGCTTCCTAGAACAACCTGGATAGATTCATCAGACACTGTAAGGAAAGCAAGGAGATGGTGTACGATGTACATGCTCAGGATCTAGCCATCCGCTGATCACCATCTTTTCGCTGTTCGTCAACCAAGGAACTCTGGCCATTTGGGTATGTGCTTCAGGTAATGAATTTGATCCATCCATTCCTTTTATTTAAGCCCCCGTTAACCATTTACATGCCATTCGAACAAGTGAAGATATCTAGTAAACAAAAAAATCAGTTCTTTTGCTTTTCTTTTTGGCATGCATCTGTAATAATGGCAATGGCTCGGACAAGTAGTTTTCATTGTTTGCATTATAGTCACAGATAGGTCGCATCACTTGTCTTTAAACTACTGGTTTTGTTTAAATTAATGTCAATGAATAATTCAATTTTAGGCAACCATTTCCTTCAAAAGAGTGGAAATCTGTTTAAAGTAAATGGGGATAAGCATTCAGGCCTAAGTTCATGTTCCTTGGGATACCTACACAGGTTTAAATCGATTGGATGCATCTGTCGGCCATTCTTACATACAAGCATTCATGGCAGCATTGAGAAGGTTATGCCCATTCGGGCCTCCATATGATTAACTTCATAGAGCACACAAAGAAATTGATAGCTTTATCGAATAGAACAATTGGAAAAATAAGCTCCTTTTGAACTTGTTGGCCAATTTACAAAAAAATTGCTGACTTCCTCTGCCCCCCTGTTCTTCTAACAGAGGTGTCTCGGATGTCATGATTGGATCATAGACATCCTTTCTACAAAGGTGTCATAATTTTTGTCTCGATCCAACATACTTATCCGGACATACTTAGGGCTAACCCCAAAGTGCTTGCCACCCCTCGTCAAGATCTTCTTGCCTCGAAGGAAGCTTTCGCAGTCTTCAATCTCTCCTTCGCACTTCACCCATGCGAAAGCTGCAAAGGAGAAAATTCAGGTAAGTTTTAGTCTCAGGTGGTCTATGTATAGCCAAGATAACTTTGATCCATGGAAATTGATACAAAAAAATCATTTTTTGTTTTTTCTTTTGCCTTGTTCTTACCAGGTTGAGGCTCGAAGACCCTATTGAGAAAGTTGCAGAACTGGGGGGGAAAGTCAGGCACACTAAATAGGCCACTCTGATGCACTGCCTCTCTCAATTGCTTCCACCTCTTGGCCATAAGGTGGTAGCTGAACTCGAAGAAGGAATCACCTTCTCCATCTGATCTTTCACAGCTGTTAGAGATAACCTTTAAAATTGTGGCTGCTCTGAGCTGTGAATCCTTTGAGACGCCAATGGTGTTGAGCTCTATGTATTTTGTCATTCTTTTTGCAACGTCTTCATCTTTTACAAGAGCCCACCTGAACGATGTCAAGTGAGAAAATGACCAGCATCACTTGCGAGGAAAATGACTTAACCAGGTATAATATGATCAACTTACCCGATGCGCATCCCAGCGTGACCGGTGCTCTTTGAGACAGTGAATAGCATCAGGTCATAGTTGGCCGGAGAGGATATTGGCGTGTATTGTGGCCAGTAATAGGCAAGATCATGTATCAATATCCCCTCACTCCTGTTTACAACAGAGTGCCTAACGAAGCCATCAGGATTGTTGGGGGAGGTAACAAGTTCTATGTAAGGGCCATTTTTGCTAAAGCTCCGGGCATCACCGGCCCATTTGTAAAGCCCGGACTTGAGGCAGTCAGTAATCAGAGGGTAGGACTGCAAGTAATCAAACGAAACTCAAGTCAAATGAAAACATCTCAAAAGCTCTCAGCAAGCAGCAGATACATGTATCTCATGAAACATGATCCAAAGAGTGCTTGTCCTTGTCTAAATTCAAAGTAAGTAAGAATCTTTCAATTTCATACTTGGTATGATGAATAATTGGCTGTAATATTCAGTGGGAAGGAAAGTGATGCAGGAAGACAGGAAGGCAAAATGTTTTAATGAAAAGATCTCACCATTGGATACTGAAATGCAACTTATAGACAAGCAGGGGGACAGGAACTATTAATCTGGAATAAATTTTTTCCGCAAGCTTGCAGAGCAGCCCGACGTTTTTAAACATTAACTTCCATGCCAAGAAAATTCAATACAGGAAGCATTTATCGATCTACCATCGTTAGTGGTTAATTAAAACCAGCATGGAGCTGATTTGCAGAATGCTTTAAAAATACATGTTTCAGTTCCTCCGGGATCAAGCTCGAGAAGATGAAACTGACAGTATTGAAAGTTGAAATTAAACAAAAAGAAATTCCAGGTTTAGATATCACTCTCACAGAATAGTAAGGGGCTGCTGAAACCACACTAATGGGTTCTGCCTCGGTCCTGGGGGACAGTGCATACAGGGCAGCTTGGAATATTTGCGTTGAACCCGTTCCAACAACAATGTGCCGATTCTCAGTAACTGCATTGCCCACAACCTTATGCAATCGGACAACTTGCTTCGCAAATTCAGGCTCTAAGAACCAGCACAAGCTTCTGGGATCCGAAAAGTAGCTCATGAACTGCCATCCAGGAATAACAATGGTGGTCTCATCCCCCTTCTTTTGCCAATAGTTTTCGTACATAGTCGGATCCCCACTGCATTGAGCAAAAAAAATTATATTTTTTTAACTTCCAAGTACTATGCAGGATCATCCTAGATTTACCATAATCTCAAGTCAAACAACAAGAAATCATTAAAAGTAGTAGTATAAGTTCCCACAAGTACTGAAAAAACTGTTGACGTATGTGACGAACGATCCTGTGAACAAATTTCATCCAGGGCGATTTAAAAAACAAAAAACCAATAGATGTTGTGCTAAGTGGCAGTAACAACTAACAAATTCGGTGTCAACGTTCCAATAAGAACACATATAAGGTAAAACTGTTAAAAAACAGCACAAGATGGTGGTAAAATAGTGGGATAGAAAGTGAAATCTGACATCAGGCTGCAATATGGGAATCTAAAAATGCATGGAGGTCGGTATGGGGGAAGGCGCAAGCAGTGGGCGGTCCCGCTCATCAGCAAATCAATGATTACATGTGTATGCATGGCTCACATCAGCTGGACACATGGAATGTGTGATGTGGTAAAGGCAAAGACCAAGTGATACTTTATTATTGGCACACATCTAAAATAGGGCCCACCTTCTGCAAGGTGCTAAGATCCAGACAACCCCACGTTTGCACTTTGAGTCCACCAGAAAGAGGAGCTTAAAAGGCGATTAACAATTTAGGCGGCCAAGGTGGTTTTAAAGATCACTTAGGCAAAAGCAAAGCCCAAAGGCAGAGAAGCTATAGTCTTTTAGAGCCAGCCAAAGGCCAGAAAGGGCGCTGCATGCGGTGTGCCCAAGGACCAAGGTCACCCACATGGCCCCCACAAACACAGACATGCATCTACTTCCAAGCCTATAGTGCGTCATGCTATTATGCACCATAGGGGAATCCCACTTGCTGCAAACTGAGAGTTGACAACCCAATTTTTTTTCCTTTTTCTTTTTGCATTTGTGCAATTTGAGAGGTCCACGAACTGTAAGGGGCCAGAATGATGATGCTGTGGTCAAAATGTCCAATGAGCACCACCACCCATGTTGCAATTTGTTTTAGTCTCTCTCTCTCTCTCATAGCACACTCGCTAACTCACTCATTCAATTTGGGAACAGAGAGATGACAAAAGAAGTCATCAATTACCCAGACAGAGCACCCCAGCTCTCAACATGCACCATGGAATATCCCAAAAAACTCAACGCATGGAGCTGTCTTTGTCTACCATGGTGCCAAAAGAATTACCTCAGCATAGCAACAAGCTGAGTACTGGGAAAAGTTGAAAAAAACAACCCTCAGCCCACGTTAAGAATGGGAATCCCAGCAGCACTAAGAAGAATCAGCACAATATAATAAACTTCAAAACCAAAAGCAAACTGAGCAAGCATTTATAGGATATTACACTGACAGCCATCATTGACTCAGTTGGGATGCTAAATCACCGGTTACCAGCCTCCCTCTTGTCATGAAATGACCTTGTTGTCCATGTATTAAGAATTAAGCTAAGCCAAGCTGTTGCTAAAATTGTTAATATTTTGCATTGCCAGAAATGTTAAACAGGCAAAGGGAGACTAATGTCCGAGAGGACAAATTAACAAGAAACATAGTGATCAAATAAAAAAGAAAAACACTTACTGATCAAGATTGATAACTCTATCTTGGTCACCTTGAGCCGTCGTAAGAGGAGAAGAGGAGGACGAGGAAACAGAGGAAGAGAGACGCGCTCCCTTGCTGGCATGCGCCTCTTCTTGAGGTCCATTCTGCTTCTCAATAAAGAAACCATTAAAGCTCCCATTTTGGGAATCATGTGAGACCAAGACCCTCAAAACTAAGCTCACATTCAGAGCCAGTGACAATACCAGCAAGTTCCTCACTGAGAAAACACTCAAAAACTTTGCCATCTCCCTCAAAGAAAACTGCAACATGGAAACAGAGGACTTGAAGAAACAGAGAGCTATGAAGTGAAGTGTGAGGAAGTGAAAGAGCAAGAGGGGTGATTTAGAGTAAAACCGAGAAGATGAAAAAAAAAGTATGGATTGACAAATGGGTGGTGAGAACTAAAATAATACCTCAAAAAAATTGCTGTGGGGAGTTACAGAGTAATTGATTGAACAAGGTTCAAGGCAACTCTGACAAACATAAAAAATAAGTAAGATTTTGGGGGATTTTGAGAGACGGTTTTGAAGTTTTGGCTGGACCTTTGAAACCCTTTCTCAAGAGTCCTTTCTTGTGCATGAAAATGAAGCAGCTGAATTGGAATTTGCTTCTACAGTTTTAAAGATTTCAAGAAAAAAGAAAAATTTTCAAGTTATTAAAACATCAAAATATATCAATACATTGGTATTTATTGTCTTCTTGATCGAACCGAAACATGCAAAATTTGGGAAAAAAAATATATTCAAAGAGAACCATGTAACTGCAGGGTGCATAGGAAAAACACCCCGGCAAATACTTTTGGATGAGATTTTCTCAGGAACCGAGAAATCCCACTATACCATTTTTTTTCCCTGGAAAAATCCCAGTTTTGATTTTTTTTTTGTTAAACACCAGATCTCGAAAAGAATAGGAGGGCACTAACAAGTGTAGATTCTCTGTTCCATAAATTGATGTATAGTGGGCTATATAGAAGTACGAGATAGAAAAAAAAAATAGGGGTGTGGGGGGAAGTGCTCTGTTTTAAGAAGAAAAGCTACTTTCACTTCATCTCCTCTGTTTTTTGCATTTTCAGTCAGCTTTTGTCCTTTATGACTTTCTTTTTCTTTTGAACTTCCTTTGATCTTTTCTTTATGGGATTTGCTTTAATTTTTTAAAATGTTGTGAAACTGTTTTTGAGTTGTCAAGTAACTGGAGTTTTGGATTTGGACTGAGATGTATAAGATAGTGTTTGATTAGCTGGTTCTTGAGAGGCAAAAAGAGTTTATTTTACTTGTTTTTTCCCCTTTGTTTGTCAGGTTTTATGGAAGCTTCTGCTTTTCAGTTTTCAGCTTTTTGATTTATTTTCCAATTCCTATCCTCTTTTCCCAAGAGAAAATAAAGTTTCTTTAAAAGTCCCAAGAAACTGTTTTTTTCTAGGTTTTGTTTTACAATTTTAATGTCTTGTACTCCAAAAACAGTTTAGGGATTTTGGGATGTTTGGAAGAAAAATGCATTACTAATCCAACAAAAAGTCTAAAAACATTACACATGGATGTTTCCTCTTTGATTTGAAGAAGATATTGACATTGACAAAAACTATGATGGTGATATTCAAGAATTATACTTTCAAAACAAAAATTACGCAAGAACAAATTGTGGGTGGAATATTCGAAAAAATCAAATCTCGATAAGAAGTTATTTTATAATCAAATTCTCAATAATCATCGGATTTAATTAGATTTGTATATAGACATAATAAGTAAACGACAAATAGGATAGGGATAACATTTCAATAATGATAATAATGAATAATAATAATAAATATAACGATACGGATAAATATTTTTTTAAAATGAATTGTAAGAAAACGACAATAAATACTTTTTTAAAACGAGTCGTAATAATGGTAGCTCAATCATAAATGTTCTTTTACATTTGTAAAGTATGTCTAGATATTTCTCTCATAACTTATTTTAATTTTTAAAAATTAACTTATTTTTAAAAACCCTATTTTCAAAATTTACATAATAACAAATCACAAGAGAAAATATTAAAGATTGGATATTCCAAAAACCAAATCTTGTTAAAAAGTTGTTTTATGATTGAATTCGCATATAGACACAATAAGCAAATAACAAATACGGAAAAGATAATATTTTTGTAATGATAATAACGAATTATAACAATAATAATTGTCAATTTCTTTGATAAATCATAATAACATTATAAATTTTTTTTATAACCAATTGTAGGAAAATGATAACATATACTTTTTTTTTTAAACAATTCGTAACAACCTTAGCTTGATCATAAACATTTTTTTACATTTGAAATATAAATTTTTTGATTTGAAGGTAAGATGTAGTTTCGTTAAAGTAAATCGCTATCTAATATTTGAAGAATCCATCCACAAATACATAAGGTAATTCACTGTAAAAATAAATTTTTTCAGTATGTTTATTTTCTTGGTTTGATTTAATATTAAAAAAGTTTTGTCAGTGAGACTGCAAAATAGAAACAGAGTCCTTTCCTTCCTCAACTGTTGGGTAGGAGGTGTCTCTATCTCAGCATTGCTTCACTCCTTCCAAAATCTAGCAGAAAGAAATAAAGATGAAAGCGATCAAACACCTATATTCCTAATGTACCATATAGCTTGGACGTCTAGCCTGGGTCTAAGGGTCCACAAAATCAGCACTGTGGAAGAGGAAAACCTGGACCAGATTGAGACTGCTGTAATTTTGTAATAATGGGTGTTTTTATCCGGAGCCAAGTCATGGCAGTCTCATTCTCCATGGACCATCCACGAGCGAAGATCCTAACAGGATATGAAGAAAAGCAAACCCTCTCCCTCCAAGTCCACAAGGTTGGAAGGGCTGCTCTGACTGCATTTAAGTCTGGTCATTGTCTATGGCCCAAGCAGAAGAAAAGAAAAAAAAAAAACAGTGGTCCTATGCTTGGTCTAGTCTGGCCTAGGATTTGAACTCTAGGCCCTTCAAAGCTTTGAGCTGCACCAATTAAGGAGATGGTCCTTCTCAACTTGTAAAAGTAGACATTCCAATCATAATAATCTCGTTGACGTGGGTCGTTTTGTCTACTAATGAACTTCTTTTTAGTGGGTAAATGACACGTGGATACATGCATCTGGGCTCTTCATCTCTCCTTCAAATCACCCCCCACCAGCAGAATCCAGTTCTTCAAAGCCCAAATCTCAGGCTTAGATCTACCAATTAGATTACCAAGTACCAATTTCTGAAGCAAAGAACATGGCACCTTCATGTAATTATCTTTTCAAGATAAATCTATCAGCTAGACAGCTACCTAATCAAGATCATTCAAAATTTTCAAGCCAATCTTTAAGTTGCAAACAGTTTTTAAACTCCCCTGAAAATGGGGGGACCTAAATAACATGATAACCTAAAGAAGTGAAATTTTGAGGTTCCTCAGCACTTTCCCCAAGTCAAATCTGCATGAAATGGACAAGAGAGCTTCCAGATCATATGCAGAAATGGGCACTTAAACAAAGTAACACAAGATATTTTCCTACCTTTATTCAAAGTGATGGGCTTCCACTCAGTTGCACTTTCTCACCTTTAATCAAGCCATGACCCATGGTTGTGCAAAGACCGTGGAATGACTCCTTTATCTTATAGTTATTACACAAGGATAAAACATGTTTATCGTGATTCATTACAAGCATCGTGATGGGATCATTGTACCATGCCTTTTTTGAGTGGTGTAAACATCAAGCATGTGCTTACGTCGTGGCACAGGCAGAGAGGCCTTCAGTTCTATAATTAACCAATGCCTCGAGACAGAATTGAGTTAAAAAGTTTATGTTCTTGGTTTCTTCAGCAAGAGGATGAACAGCAGATCAGTATGAATTTTAGTCAATACATGGAATAGACAGAAGCAAGAAACTGCTGAGGCAATCAAGCAGTATTCACATTTATATTATACAGTGCAAATGATATGGAATGGTGTAAATACAGGAACATAATTTCATCTTCTATACAGAACAATCAAACCAAGCACTGGAACCAGCATACTACTTCACTTGCAAACGCTACCAGTCTGAGATCATACATCCTGGCTGTTCATCAATTTATCCAGCACCACATTAAGGTCAACTGACTGCCCATTTGCTGTCAGTTTCCTCACTGTTGCTCTCACTAAATCTCTACGGAAACCCATTGCTACAACTTTGTCAATGACATCGTCAACTCGTATTCTGTTTCCACTTTCACTAGAATTTGATCCACTATCCACGCTAGAGGCAGTTGGAAGCGCATATGGTAATATCTTAGCAGTTGGCAATCGTGAGTAGCTGTTTCCAGCACCCACTACAGAAGATGGCGAGAGTTGTGAGGGTTTTATGGTTGAACTATTGTAACTGGAAGAAGATGCAACATAAGGATATTGATTGTTCAAATTATGAATCCTCTGTGGTTGTGAATACCCAAAAGGTAACTCTTTATAAGGATTGTTGGAGGATTGATCTTGAATCTGCTGCTTAGAACTCACCAAAAATTCATGTGCTGCTGGAGACATGGCAGGTGGCACAGAGGATTTGTGGATACTTTGAGATGGCAAACAAGGAACATCTTTGGGTTGATAGCCTAACGGAAGATTGGCATGAGAATTAACTGTATTGATAAGTGGATGCTGTTGTTGTAGCTTAGGCAACTGTGGAATTGGTGAAAGTTGAGGTGGTGGCTGATATGGTTGAGTTGGTGCTGGAATCGGTTGCTGCATCTGCTGATCTATTGGTGCAACGTATTGCTGATAAGTGGCATCTGGAGTCAGCATAGGCAGTGGATAGTTAGATTCAGAGTGCGGCATACAAGGGAAAGCACCAGGAGGTAATTGGGTTGGAAGTTGTGGAGCTGTTGCTGCTTCATGGCTTGATTGGATATTCTGATGAAGAAGGTTTTGAGCAGCACCAGAAGGGAGAGGAGAGAGCTGTTGTGGGCAAGTAACTGAAACTTGTAGCTGGGATTGCTGGGGAACAGATGATGACAATTCTTGAGCTGAACCAACCCGAGTAGAACTGCTTTGGTTAACTTTGGACAGTGTAAGCTTAGCAAGCTGCAGCTTAGCCTCTGCTATCTCGTGGTTATCTCTCAGGTCATGAATACCACCACGAACCTGCAAAATACTATACACAAGTTGCACTCAGCATATTTAAGATGCCCTTTGCTTCAGCATACTTATTTCCCAAACCAGATTTTTAACCTCAGTCATTGCAAATTATCACCATTCAGAAAAATATCTACTGAGATTCACTTGAACTTAAAATGCATATATGGTAGCAGATACAATTGTATGCCAACAAAAAGAGAAATACAGCTGAACAAAATTTTTTTAAGAGAAAGACTCTGATTGCTAAATTGGGTATACTTTTCATGTCCTAGAAGTGTTTAATAATAGCCGGAAGTCAAAGAGAAAAACAAAATAACCTATTGTAGGTCTTTAACTTACACACACATAGAATTGATGCACAATGCAATTTCCATTGCAGCAAAATGGATGCCTATGGACACCGGCCCAGGTGGTAGATGGGTTGAGTAAAACACTTTTGCTGAGTGTTAAAAAGGAGAAGCGCCTTGTTTGCTCTATAAAAAATGACTGAGGTTACCACATTGTATGGAATGATTATAAAAGGAGTAAAGTCTATGGTAAAAAATATGTCCAAATTTAAACTAATTTCAATTTCTTGACTCCTAATACCGGAGATAAAGACTAAGAAGAAAATTGACTTATCTCAAAATTGAGATTGTAACCCAATTTAGATAACTTGTCGGCCAAAGCTTCAACAAGCACAAGCCAATGATCTACACCACCAGAAAACCATTAATGATGGATGGATAAACATATTGCAGTGAGAGCAAACTGCTGTACCAGCAATTCTAGAATTCAGAGGTTCCGGATGAGTATTGTACAGTCATCGATGCTTAGTGGTATAAATTAAAGGGAGGCAGAAACAATCACCTCCTAGTGCTGATGGTTAATCTAGGTGCTTGAAACTCCAACAACGAGATGAACCAAGACAGAGAATAAAAGAGTTTAGCATGCGGAAATTGGAAGCTGTTGTAGAGTTGTGAATGCAAATCCTATAACTAAGCTATCCAGCGTTTCAAGTCTAAAGCTTAAGAACTTAAGCCTGAAATTCAATCTCTGACCCTGTCTATATTTGCAGCAATCACTAAAACATATCATTGAACAAAAAAAAAAAATCATAAATCCACCATTTTTGGCACCTCTAGCGGCTAAATTTTATCATTATGTTTATAACATACAACTGGTTAAATTCATAATTTTTAGTTCAAGCAACAGTTTTTGCTGAAACAAATGGCAAATAGCAAAAGTAACAATCAAATTACAAAACAAAATAAAGAAGAAAATGATGAAGAGTACCTCCCCCAAAACATTCCCTAGCTCCCTAATCTTCCCCTCAACCCTTCCATGGTTAAATTCAACGGAACCCTTCAAGTCCCCAACGGCGTTCTCCAACTGGCGCGTTCTGTTCTCCAGCTGCGACACCCGCGCGCTCAATCCTCCCACCACGCACACAACATTCTCAGTGTGTTCCTTTATCTTCCTATCGATCTCTGCAATCAATGCAGCGCCGTACGAAGAAGCCCCAACTCCTCTGTCGCCAGGGTGTTTGGTGGGAATCGGGCGGAAATTGGAGGAGTGAAGTAGCTGGGGTTCGACGTCGTATTCGTCGTCATCGTCGTCGAAGAAGACGTTGCGGGATTTGGAGAGCTGGGTGGTTTGCTTTTCCATAACGGGAATTCGATTGCCAAAAAGTTGGATTTTGTTTTCCTGGTATTGTTTGGGTAAGGGAATTTCAGCTGATAGTAGTACTGCTTGCTACTTGATGATGTAAAAATGCATCATTCACCTTTTACTTATAATTACACATAAATTTATTAATTTTTAAATATATCGTAAATATGAAAATTTTAAAATATTTTTTTTCTCATTTTTTCGTCTCTCTCAAGTCAACTGACAAACACCAATTGACTACTCCAATAAGACATAATCGTGAAATGTCAAATTCAATCGAATCTTCCTAAAGAAACATTAGATCTTTCAAAAATAAAAATTATAATTTATATATTATGTAATTTTTGAAATTAATGAAAGATAAAATTATTTAAAAAATAATTATGTGAAAACTCTCTAAATAAATTATGAAACTTTACACTCAAGTATTAAGTTCATTGGTTTGTGCATTATCCCCTACCTAAAAAATAGGGTTCAAACCTTCTTTTTTTCAATTATATAAAAAAAAATTATGAGACTCTATATATAATATAAAAAATTATATAAAAAAAATTATGAGACTCTATATATAATACCAAAAATGGTGGCAATTATTCAAGAATAGGCTTTAATGTGGTCAATGAATGATATTATTATAAAAAGTTTTAATGTTAGTAATCATTATTGTGATTAGTGAATGTCATTATTATAAAAAGTTTTAATGTTAGTAATCGTTACTGTAACACATTATGCGAATATTAAGATAGTAATTTTATGACAATAATATAAATGATGGTTGAAGTAATGGGTGTAATAAGACTTGTTCTCAAATAAAAAATAATAGAGAAGAGGTATATGTGAAAGACTATATGAGAACAAGTTAAAAGAGAAAAAAAAATGTATATAAACAAGTATAAAAGATGAAGTATACGAAAACAAGGTAAGAGACAGACGCATTCGTATTTCAAGAAAAAATTTGTAAAAAGACTAATTAACTATTTTTATATCTAATTATTAAGTTAAATTCTGTGAAACATCTTAAAATTAAAATAATTTATGAATCTTGTTATTTATTCTAAATTGCTTTTATTACTATCCGTATGAAGTAGTTATTTTACTTATTTTAATTGTTTCGTACGAGATAATGTTTTACTTATTTTAACCGTTTGTGTTAACCAAATTATGAGATTGCATAAAGAAAATTGTTGGAAAGTACAGAGAGGTTGAGAAGAATACAGCATAAACAGATTTGCAGGTAGTTGATAATATCACTCTCTTAACTCAAAAAAAGTATTCCACCACTGGAGGCAGTGGGGAATTAAGACCTGGAACTTCAATTCTGACCATTTGCTTATCATAGGCAAAGTCAACTGGGACTCCATCAATCTTACAAGCCCATGGCTTCTCCGATGCGAACACCTTCAGTTGCCCTTTTTCTTTCACTCCGATCCTTACCAAATTTTCATCACCAGCAAAAGCTAATGACTGAATTGCACCACCAGAATTAAGCATGTTCACTAATCCAATAGGAGCAAACTGAATCTGCTTTTTGGGTAAGATTGCCACTGGTGAAACTGTGAGCAGCTTGTAGTTGAGTAGCTCAAGCGCAACCTCCATTTTCTCTTATGACTTCATGAGCTTCAGCTTCTTTGACTGATACTGGTAAGCAGCGTAGATGCTCACACCTTCGACAGAAATTGGGGTCTTGCCATTGTTCCATTCGATGTCTTTAGGACTTGCCAAGCAAACCACCAGGTTCGCAAACTCAGGGGCGCTTTTGTTTCTTCGGGAGTGAGGACACCACTCTCCTCCTTGACAATTGAACAATCCTAGAACCCCTGAATACTGTTTTCAGATACAAAGAGGAACATTTCAGGAAAAGAAAGTTTTGGTAACTCGAAGAACTTGGAAAACTATTGACTTACTTTGTTGAGGTTCTAAATCTTGAGCGCTATTATCCCATCATGTAATAGATCTTCGAACAGGCAATCTCTTGTAGGAAGTGCCTAGTGTTGACATCGCATAACGGACCCATCTGGTAATGCCAGTTTCTTCAGTAAATCGAAGTTGTATTCTCCAACAGAGTCTCTCACATAAACTGGTCCACCCGAGATAGCTCGTGATGCAGCATGGAATTCAGCACATGGGTGGTGTGATTGGAACATATCCCAGTCTGGATGTATGAAGTTGCCCATCCACAAGCTGTTGTAGGCACAATTTACCATGTGACATCCTTGTAGCCAAAATATCCCAGTAGGATCTCCGTAGAGATCAATACACCAAAAATCATCTCCTACACATTAGTAATTTATATCACCAAAAAGAAAGGGAAAAAATAAAAAAGGTTTAGTGCCACCCTGAATTGTTGCATTGGTTGGAGAAAACTTCTAAAGACATACCAACACGCCCGAGGGCAATGGTTTCTGTTCCAAGGAAAAAGAAGTCGCTGGCCTGTTGCATACTAGAAATGACACCATTTCCAATGAAATGTGTTCTTAGAGAAGCGATCAGAGCCTTGAAATAAGGTTTAGCGAGCTCCACGCGACCACCATAGTCTTCTGATAGCAACTCAAGCACTTGCAAGAATTAAGCAATTGCTGCAATGAAAAAAACTTGCCTATGCAAAATGGTACAAGCAGATGGAATTGGAAACATTTCTATACAAAGAAGTATAAACAAACAAACGAAAGAATATATTTGGAGCTTACTTCAATCACATCAATCTTGACGCAATCAATTCCCACTGACTGAAGATGAGAGTGAAGTCCCTCGAACAGTTTGTTGGCCTGCTCTGGTGGAACTAACCCTACCCCATCTCTTGTAGTGTTGCACACAGCAAAATCCTTCATTGTCTTCAGCACACTGGGAGAGGCATGAGCTTTAACAATTCTGGATTCAGGCATGCCTGAGACGTTGGGTCTAATCCGACCCAAGTATCCACATAAGGCTTGCCACACGTACACATCTTTTACGGTCTTGAACTCCTCCTTCAGGTCCTTAACAAAGGCACCCATTCCCTTGCTGGATGGTGTTCTGGTACTCTCATAATCTTTAAATCTATAATTCTTTTGAAATTTTACAACCCTGTATGGCATTTCTTCACTGTTAGCCGCTGGGTCAAAGCCTTCGTTATCGATTGGATCGTCGTCTAGGCATATGTATTGCCACCCATCATCGATTATGAGCATCCCTGGAGGGCATTCAGCCTCATCCAGGGCCTTGACCCCATCCCACATACCTTCGGGATGTACGGAACGATAAAATGCATCCCAAGTGCACCAACCGAATTTGTCCACTATACCTGGTGGGCTTTTCTCTTGAAGAAGCCTGAGTGTCCCCAGATGCACCCTGGCCACTTTCATGGCCTCCTTGACAAGATTATATGGAGCTGCACCAACATGCATGTACAAACAACTCTTGAAGCTCAACCCACGAACCTTTGTGGACCCACTTTCAACACAGATGTTCACGTTGTCATCAATTTCGGATTGAAGAGAACTGCTGAAGGACCCTTCGATGATTGGAAGTAGAATAACGTAAGGGCGACCCAAGTCACTTGTGTCCAAAACCATCATCTGAGTCTCGTACTCCACTTCTCTCCTTCTGCTTCCCACCCAGTGCGTACTCCACCAAAGTTTGAACCTGAATATGCTCATGAACCTTACGCCACTCAGCTTGCCTATGGGCACCACGTGATAGCTGCTAGGTTCTCCCACGTCAAACCCCACGAAGCAACCATGATCAACTGTACTGTTGTTCTTGGTATTGTCGGGGAAGGAAAATGGTGATGGGGTGGCTACAATGTTTGAAGGGACTTGAGTGAGAATTGGATGACCGTTGGCTAGGAAATCTGTTCCTGCAAGTGTGATTGAATTGGGAACTTCACCATCAAGAAGCCTCATGCAACGGGTCTTCAAACAGGCAATCTCTCGTTGGAAGAGCGTAGTGTTGGCATCTCAAGATGGACCCATCAGGCAATACCAGGCTCTTCAGCACCTTGAAATTGTGTTGTCCGACAGAATCACTTACATAAATAGGTCCACCAGACGTAGCTCGTGATGCGGCATGGAATTCAGCACATTAGTGAGTTCATTGGAACATGTCCCAATCTGGTTGTATGAAGTTGCCCATCCACAAGCTGTTGTAGGCACAATGCACCATGTGGCAGCCCTGAAGCCAATATGTCCCGTTCGGGTCGCCTGAGGGGTCAGTGCACCAGAAATCATCACCTACAGGTAAATTTACATCAGCTTAGTTTGATTAGTCCCTTGCATTATCTTGTCTCATATGGTTTTTTTTAAGATATTTGGATGCAAATTTCAAAATTTTCTAAATACATACCAACACGACCGAGGGATATGGTCTCCGTTCCTAGGAAAAGGAAGTCATTGCAGTGCTGCATGCTAGCAATAACAGCCTTTCCTTTGAAATGTCTCTTAACAGAAGCTGTTAGAGCCTTGTAATAAGCTTTGGCGAGATCCACGCGTCCGCCAAACTCCTCTGCAAGCATCTCAAGCAGCTGCAAACAGCAATTGCCTCAATAACATGCAAATTCTTGGTGAAAAACTGGAAAAATCCCAACTAGAAATATGGATACAGTTTTCCATTGAAGCAATCCTGACGTGGACTTTCAGAATACAAATAACTGACTGCCCAGCCTGAATTCAAAAACTTTAAAACTACACAATCAAGGGTAATGAAAAATTTCGGTTCTTACAAGATTATAAAGCTAATCTAGAACAATTAAAAAGGCAGTTAATTAATTCCTGAAAAGCATATAAAACAAAGCACTCTGCTATTAGTTATCTGATATTGAGCAAATATTCTTGAACGTTAGGGAAACATCCAAAAAACAAATGTTAAGAACTGTTTAAATGTAGAGCCCAATCCTTGAAATGAAGCCTGGACCAAAGTTGTTTATCGTTACATGCCAATACCACAACATCCTACATTACTCACCGGAAGAACATGCAGGAAACTTTTAAACAGGGGGACACGAGCCAAGAAAAGTGACAAAAGGATTTCTGGTTCAGGATAAGTTGTGTGGACTTGGGCCTACAACGGTTGTTAGCCAATCTTTTTGCACTGTATTCTACCATGCAAATGCTATCATTGCCTTATACTTTAAACAATTAATACCATCATTAATTCAGATTACCACATCATCAAATTGAAAATCATTTGGCTTTTTCATTCTGAAATTCGCTTTGGGTAAGCATAAAAAATCCAAAAAACAAAAGGGCAGAAAATTACTTAAATATAAGATAATGTGGACCACTGGATCTCAATTTGATGATGTGGTTGTATAATTAGATGGAAAGGGTCATGGTCAAGTAAACTGAGATGCAGATCGGAAAGTGATCAAACTTTGAACCTTGGACAATACTTTCTGGAGAACTCCATGCAAAAGTCAAAAGTGCACGTGAGCCCAAAGCCCACAACTCAGGAAGAAATAAAAAAGAAAGAAAGAGAGAGTTCGAGAACTTACATGAATCACATCAACCTTGACGCCATCAATCGCCAGGGATTCAAGATGAGAGTGAAGTCCTTCGTACATCTTGTGAACCAGTTCCGGTGGGACCAATCCTACACCATTACTAACAATCTTGTCTACAGCTAAATCCTCCATTGTCATCTGCAAGCCCTGTGACAATTTAGGACTAATGACCTCTGCAGGAGGCATTCTTGGGACATTGGGTCTAATCCCACCCCAATATCCATATAATGCATGCCACACCTATACATGCTCTATGGTCTTAAACTCTTCCTTTATGTCCTTAATGAAGGCACCTATGCCCTTCTTACTAGGTGATTTAATGCTTTCATACTCCCTAAATTTGTAGTTCTCTTCAAATTTTATGAGCCTACAGGGTATTTGTTCACCAGCAGAAGTTCGATTTATGCCTTCTTGATCACTGATGGGGTCACCGTCATGGCAAATGGACTGCCATCCATCATCAATAAGGACCATCCCTGGAGGGCACCCACCCTCCACGAGGCCCTTGACCCCTTCCCATACACCTTTAGGGTGTACTTTAAGGTAAAATGCATCCCAAGTGCACCAACCGAATTTATCTACTATACGTGGCAGGGTTTTTTCGTCAAGAAGCCTGAAGGTCCCCAGATGGACCCTGGCTACCTTCATGGCCTCCTTGACGAGACTATAGGGATCATCACCGACATGCATGTACAGACAAGTCCTGAAGTTGGAACCACAAACCTGCGTGGACCCACTCTCCACGCAGATATCCACGTTATGATCACCAACTCCAGGCTGGAGAGAAGCCCTGAACGGCCCTTCCAAGAGTGGAAGCAGCAGAACATAAGGACGCCCGGACTCATTTTTGTCCAACATCATCATCTGAGTATCATTCTCCACGTCTTTCCCACTACTTCCAACCCAGTGGGTGCTCCACCAGACTTTGAACCTGAAATGGCTCATGAGCCTTATGCCATTCAACTTGCCTATGGGCACCACGTGTCGGCTCTTTGGCTCCTCGACATCGAACCCAACAAAGCAACCTACGATGCTCTTGGCCTTGTCTGCGGAACAAAACTGTGATGGGGTGGCTACAATGTTAGCAGGGACTTCAGAGAGAATGGGTTCACCATTAGCAAGGAAGTTTGATCCTTCCAAAGTTATTGACGTGGATAATTGCCCATCATAAACAAGCCCCATTGCATCCAGAGCATTTTGCTTGGAGCCATGGAAAGAAGGAATCTTCTAGGTCGGAAGGGGAAGAAAAGGACAGGGCAGGGAAGAACTATAGTTTAGAATCTCGGCGAGCAATGCAGGAACCAGCGGTGGTATTTATGGAAGGTTAGGGGGCCGGGGCAAGAGTGTACACATTGTTTTCAAGGAAAACTTGGCTGTGGTTTGCTCGTGTATGGGAACCATGTACAAGTTGGGGGTTTGAGTTCTGCTTTCGTGGCTCATTCCCCCTTGTCCCTAGCTAGAGACACTTGACAAACAAGAAAATACGAAAAAAAGGTATTGTGGTCATTTGGATTTCCATGATGGGCGAGAGTAAATGCCCATAACTTAAAAATACAATGTACGGGGACAATGTCATGTATAGATATGAGTGCCTTTCCTTCATCAGTCATGGCCATATGGCCCAATGCATGTTCACCCTCTCTGGAACCGTCTTTCTTTTTCCTCAATAGATGAAAGAGCCTTAGAAAGACAAAGGTGGAGGCAATCAAGGGAGCTTTCGACATGGAAAAGGAGCTTAAAGGTGACAAATTGTCTATGACAAGGAAGGGGGGTGCATGGGGTGGTCCTGGTATCTGTCAAAAACAAGTAATCTCAAAGGGTAAGAACTGTATTAGTCTGCTTTGAGAGGATATGGTGAAAATCTTCCTTCTCTTCTTTTAATCTTTCTTTATTCCTCTTTATTTTGTTTCTTTATTCTCCCCTTTATCTCTCAACCTTTCATTACTTTTCTAGATGCTTCTTCAGCTCCTCTATTTAAATTAAGCCACTAGGCTTTAGCTTCCAAGAAGTTTTCATCTTTCATTGGACATTTTGTCTAGCTTTGCTGGTTAATTTGCCTTTGCTCGAATTCTTTATTAATAATTGATTTATTATAATAATTAATAATGAATCAAAGCTAATCATAATGTAATGTTATTCCTTATAAATTAGCATTTCCTTAATTAATGACTAAGAAATTAGGTTCCAAACTTTATACCTTTTCAATATTAATTAATTGTGTTTTAACTAATCATTAAATTTTGACTTATATAATGTTCTAAATATGTAATTAGATCTAATAATTATAAACCCTGTTTGTTAATATGATCTAAAATTAAGTGAATTTAAATTTAATATAATTATCATGTTTGTGTTTTAATCATATCAAGTCATTTATGATAAAAAAAAATCAACATCATATGCGGGAATCCGTTATTATCATGATAATAAATTTATTAATATTAGTATTATAATTGTGATATTTCATATATTAAAATCATAATAATATATTTTAAAAAAGATATATTTAAACCTATATTTTTTAAGTAAGGATGTCTTATACTAACTAATGAATTAAATCTCATATTCTATTATTATTATTATTATGTCATTAAAAAATAGTATAAGAAAAAGTTTATAATATGATAAATGATAATTAGAGGGCAATAATAATATAAAGGATTGATGTTATGCGGGCAGGCAGCGGGTCTAGAAAGATCCAAGACAATTCAAAGGGATTAAGGGTTTGTCATCTCTAAGCCCCACTTACGCATGGGAATTCGATAGTAATTTGACGACTTTGTCCTTACAAATTGAGAATTTTCCTATTCCTCACGCTAATAACGTGGGAAATGATCGGTGGGGCCACTTCCTCCCCCTCACCACATATTTCCTTGATAGATAAATCTCATGCTTTTGGTTATAGCTTTTATACTATATTTTGTGATTTTTTGAATTAATTATTTATAGATATTTTTTAATTAAATTTGTGTGAATAACTTGTATTCTCACAAAAGGATAAGTTATTAATTCATTCGTTTAGTAATATTACAAAATATATCTTAAAGTATGAATAAATATATTAATTTTGAAAAATATTTTAATAATTTTACTAGACAAAAAAATAAAACTACAAAATGTGTAAGTGAAATTTTTTTTTTATAATCAGTATTTTTATTAATTAAATTTATTGTTTAATATTGTGGGTGGTTGACAGTTTGACACGTGTTGGAAAGTCAAGTGGGAAGAAAGACACATAATTCCTGATCACCCACGTGACTGCCCTATGAGAAGCCACGTAAACAACTCCTGACAGATTCAAGAAACAAGAGGAAGTGCTAAACAGACAGCAGCCCGACCATACCGCCGACACGTCAAACAGTTTCCACGTCACCTTGTCCTCCTCGTCGCTGTTCTTCTTTTTATTTGAAAGTAAATTTAATTATAAAGTGACAAATTATTTTATTTACATTTATAACTTCTTCGCAAAATATAAAATTCATTTTTAAACTTAGATTTAATTTTTAATAATAAAATTCCAAAAAATGATTAAATTTTATTTTTATAATGAATTTCCATTGCATTTTTGACTAAATAAACAGGCTTAATAAAATCAAATAGATTATGAATATCAAATACAAATACCTTATCATTGCTGCAAGAAGTCCATGACTGGATTCACAATGGGCTCAGCCCATATAAAGTCCACTGGCCCAAATGAACCCAAGCCTTTTTGGGTCCAACGAGGCCCAAGCTGAGTTCACCGAAACAAAGTCCACAAACCATAATAAAAGTTCTTTGATTTTCCTTTATCAAATTTAGTTACATTTTTATACTTGGAAAATCTTTCTAGTTCAATCATCCTGCTTCGGGTGAGGCTAAAATCCGTGAATTTTGATTCTATGAATTAAATTTCTTTAGCCGTTCTACGTACAACTTGAAAAGGAAGATAAAAGAATGGCGGGAAGTGAGGAACCTGATTCCACAGAGTTGCAGGACAGCGATTGCTCTTTCCTATGGGATCCGCAAACTCGTCTCTACTTCCATGCCAGGTTTCAACCCCCCCACCCCCCTCC